GACAACCAGGTAAAAGAAACATTACTGCTCTTTTGCCGTTCTAATAAATACTTAATTTACTTCAAGCTTCAGCAGCAGGCATTAGAGAAAATCTATCAGAATACTCTCTGGTTTGCTTTCTCAAACATTAGGGTCCAAATGTATGCTCCATCTTGGACACAAGAGTTTGGGTGTCATACCCCAGCCATACCTGATCTATTGGGGTCTATGAGACTGGAAACACTTAGCTGCTGCACAGAGCTGGTGGTGTGCTGGAAAAAATTTCAGTGTCCCATATTATGGGCTAAGTGCTGAAACACCTTGCTGCTGCTCCTACTGTTCTCCCTGATGCTGCTATTCACCATGGCTGCCTGCTGACCCTTCCAGTGGCTGTGCATCCCTCTGGAATGGCTTTTCTAGCAGGGGTGCTGGCTGCCAACCCCTACTGCTGCCTCCAGCTCAAGCTTCACAGGGTATTTGCCATACTCCTCTTTTAACCCCAATATTGATATGATCCAGCACACCACAGATCTCAGGACCTGCCCGTGTGATGGCACTGCAAATGCCCTGCTGCAAAAGTGGAGGCACTTAAGATATGAAAAGCTGGGAGTTTCGAGGATTTAAATGGATAAATATTCTTTGTCTGAGGCTTCATGTTGGCACTAGTTACTGATTCATTTCCATTATTTTCCAACACATAAACATGCACTGTCATGCACTTAAGATTTTTTATCTGCAAGGCCTTTAAACTGGGATCTGCAAAGCTAAAAAGACTTCAGTGTGTGCCTGACTTTATGTCCCAATAAGCAGAAAAAACAAGCATCTCAAGCACACGTGCAAGTCTCTGCCAGATTCGGGTCTCAGTTCTATTTCTGGTGGTATCAGAGGAGCATGTAACAAAGGGATAAGATTAAAAAATTAGTATAAATGCAAAAAACATATAGTGGTGCTTACTGCATTTTTAATTATGCTGCAGGTAGGCAGGTCGATGAACAGCTCAATTCTCAATGTTCAGCGGCAGTAATGGTTACAAAAAGGCTGCTGTGTTTGCATATTTACTGCCATTCACCCTCACGGTTTCTTTCGTGTGGGTTCACTGTTCACCCTAGAGGCATCCTAAAAGCCAGACATTTGAAGATAATGTAGGCTGGGGGGTTTCCTCAACTCATTTCATGCACCCCCAGTCGCAGTGTAAATAGCTAACGTAGGTACTGCCAGCTGTGCAGTCCCAGCAGGACAGAAGGTAGCTTGTTTTACCTCGGAGGCAAACTGTGAAAAACATCAATTTTGCACTCTCAAGACTGATCTACATGTTTTTTCTATGAAAATGTTATCTGTGGCCTGTTTCACAGAGCAGAAAATGAATGTTGGAATATCACTGTCGTACCAGTAAGGGCTTTATACTCAAATTATCCCAGACAGATATGTAAAGTTGCAGATATTGTATGAAAAGCTGCCAAGGCCTAATGCCCTATTTTTAGGAAGTTAAGCATAGATGTATGAATAAAATTATGATTTGCATTTGAAATTCCTCGGAAAACAGAGGCTGGCTAAAAATGTAGGTCATAATTTAAGTGTCAAAAGTGCCACGAGCAACTGATGCGTTTTGCTATTTTATAGCAATCTGAATGCATACAAGATCAGGTTTAGACCTTAATACTGGAAAGTCCTTTTGATAAATTACATGATAACCCCCTCAAAATCATAGCGTGCTGGAACTATTTGTTAGTATAAACCATCATTTTTGTCCACTTCTCAGTACCTAATGGCTGTTTCCATCTTATTTTCAATCTCTGTTCAGGCAGGTGGGGGGTCTTCTGCTCAAGGTGACATCTGTTGTGGCTGGAATTGCTAGTGAGATGCAATTTCAGACAGAAATCCTGCTACCTACCTGGCAGCAGTTTAGTGAAAGGGTATGTTTTTTTCCTGTTGGGAGAGTAATTTTCTAAGTCTACGAATGTTTGCTCAGATTGATGGAAAGAGTTCCAGGTTACAGTAACCAGTGAAATAAGCATATTCAGCTATTCATAATCTGACCGATGTCAAAAGCTGTTTGTGTCTGGACCAGAATATCTTCTGCAGGGGTTGTGCTCTGGCAGGAGAACCACAAAGCCAAAATGGTTAGAAATGAAACTGTCCAGTTACTTCAGCAGCAAAGTCCTAAAGTCACCTTTGCCGATGAGTGTAATGTCTGTCCTGGTACCCAGGGTCCGCCAGGTGGTTACTAGTTTGTATCGCATTCATCCTTTCCTCTCTCTACTGGATTTTTTCCTTTTACAGGCCACTGAAGTAAGTGTTTGAAGCAGTATTTGAGAGAGACATTCCTTGTAATATTCTTCTCTGCTTTGAAGGTTTATAAAAGTCTAAGCATTTATCTGCCAATGAGTCCACGCTGTGCCTGTAGTTCAGGCCTATTGACCTGCACCAAGGATTTATCCTCCGTCACAGCCTACATGTGTACCTTGAATGTGTGGGAGCAGGATATACTCGTTTATGTCAGAGCCTGCTAAAGAGTAAATGATGACCTACTAATCTTGATTGTTTTCCAAAAGTATTAAGTAATCAAATATCAGGCCTAAGTAAATGTCTTCCTTTCTTTCTATTGCTCTTAGCATATAAAAAGGGGAATTTGTTTTTTAAGATCTGGCATTTGGGGTCACAGCCACAACAAACAGTTCAGTTTCAGACCCAGAAGTCTAACCTAGAGTGTGTATAGCAAGAAGAAACACAAATACAATGCTAGTGTATACAGGTTAAACTCTGTGAAACTTGTTTTCTCTCTTAATTAACCTTTACCTGATGTATTCTTTGAGTATTGTTTTCCTAGTCGGATTTTCAGCCTCACTGAAGTCTTTAAACTTGTTGCTCCCATTAAGTCAATATCAACTATTTTATGATGCAGAGCTGGCTTCTCCAGTTATGAAGACAATGTTTGCTAAATTTCTTCTTTTGATGGGTTTATTTTAAATTATTTACCTTGTCACATTCCTACAGATTAGAAACCTTTTGTCTGTGTTTTCTTCTGTTCTTTTTAAGGTCAACTGAGTGGAATTTCACATGTCAGTAAAAGATATGGCTCCATATTTTGCACTTCTCCAGGGGGTGCAGATACTTACAAAGAAGAGCTTGTGCACATAAGAATAAGAAAGGGGATTATAGTTTTGCAGGCAGGATAAGATATATTGCATTTATCCCAAGATAGGAGTGAACTTGGGCACTTGTAGAGGGTCTGATATTCTTTTGGTTTTCACTGTGATATTCTTGCGCTAGCCAAGGAGTGCAAACATAAAGGTTTAACAAAACTTAAAGAACCAAAGCTTTGAAAATTAATGTAAATTAACTTTCTTTTATCCCTCCCCCTTCAGACAAGATCTAAAGGTGTGGAGTTAATGAATACTTTAGATAAAACAATGTTAAGTTGGTATTCCAAAGCTCTCATTGAGAGGTAAGCTGGGGTGAGACTATAGCCATCTAAGGCTAGGTGGGTTCTGCCATAGCCAGGTGTGGGCATGTCTTAGTCTGAAACAGCTGGGGAGCAGGTTAAGCCTCGAGTGGTTAAACAACCTCACATATGTCATGAATTTAGAGTGTGCACACTGATGATCACTGCAGAATAGCAGCACTTGTGCACCTTGCTGAGGACAGAGTTGCTCATGCTTTTCTCCAGGACTCCGATAAACCTGCACACAAGAAGAAATGGAGGGGAGAGGTTAAGCATCGTTTTGTGGTGGAGCAACAGAGAGTGAGGGTTGGTTTGACACCTTAATCTGTCAATGACAGGTAAGGTGAAGTGATATGAAGAGTCTGTGGTTTGGAAATCAGCAGCTGTGAATAAAGATGCTAAAGCCAAAGAATGAAGAAGCTGGGTATGCTTTCAAGGCCCCTAATTATTCTTTAGATTATTTCTAACCTTAATAATCTTCAGTATTTTAGCAGTAAATGATAATAATAATAATAATGATTTTAAAAAGTGGTTTCAAACCTGTGTGTGCACATGTGTATTTACAAGAGGTATGGTATGAAGTTGCCAATATGGTTGGATGTCTAGGGTGAAGTGTGGCTAGGCTCTTTTGTGTCCCCAGGACAGCATTGCTATTTTCAAGTGTGTAGGATGGATCTGAGGGTTTGAATTCTTGGCAGGTTTGCGAGTCTGGGTGTCGAACCCCAGAGCAGCTCAGGAGAGCCAGCCTAGGGCTGTCAGTACACAAGGTCGTGAGGTGTAAAGACCCAGCGGAGCAGCCTGACTGTATAGGGAGAATTATATGAGCAAGCTCCTGTGCATACACCTACCATGGGATTTGTGTGGAACTAACAGTATAGGCAGATAAGAATCGCAAGACCCAGTGTCTTTAAACTGTCTCTTGGTTTAAGTCGTCTTATTGGGGAACCTTGCTGAAAAGCTTTGGGAGCCTTTGATTATAGTCTCAGCTGGCAGGATTTGTTTTCTTTTTGATGCATCACATGACAATTATCTGTACAATGGTGAGGTGCCCTGGAGAGCTGCAGCTCAGACAGCCATATGTCTGAGGTAATAATACAATCCAATTCCAGCACAGCAGTTAGCTGTTGTTCAATAAACACTTCATAATCTTAATGTAAAATTATCAATTGTCATAACACCCAGGCGTATGTGTGGCTGTGTGTGGACTCAGCTGCAGCATGGGAGTTTGTCTTAGAAGGAGGAAAGACAACTTCTCTGGAAGGCATTTCTTTGGGACAGAATTCAACATTTATTTCAGCATAAGTTGCTTTTTTAAGTACAGATTTTTCCCTTCTGTGATCTGTAACATCCTCCAGCCTCTAAAACAAACTGGCTGAAATGAATACATATTGGGAATGACATAAGTTTTTTCTAGCAGTAAGAAAGAGTTGGTGAACAAATCACCCATGAGTTTGGATTTAGACTGGGTTACATGTAAAGATGATGCAGACTAATTAATTAATTACTGGGACGGCCATTACACTGTTTGGGTATTTATACTATAGCACCTACAGCCTCTCTCCACTGAATTTGTTATTCTCTTGTACAGGTTTTGGGGAGCAAGCCAGAGCTTCCCGAGTGTGATGATAATGATGATGAACTGGCCGATATTACAAACAGAAGAAGTGCTAAACTATATATGGTAAGTATTTTATTTATTTAATTGCGTATTCAAGTTAGGTACACTCTATAGTATTCATGCATTCACTTGCCCCTCATATATGGAGTTCTGGCTTCAGTTACAGAACTACATTTATGTTAGTTGATTTGCAGCCAATGGGCAAGTTTCTCAAAGGATGCCAACCAAGACAGCCCAGATAATTTCAAGGAGGAAAAAATACGGATTATGTCCTGTTTACTCAGGAAAAAAGCTAAGCATCGCCTATGAAGCACTCGGTGCAGGTCAAAGAAGAATTAGCTGGTCTTAAATCAATTTTCTGTCTTCTTGATTTTAACAGTGAGAGTTTTGGTAAGCACACATGATTAAGTTATTCTTAACAGAGTTTGAAAGATGGACAGTTATGTTATATTTTTTATATAAATCCAAAGGAATTTGAATAGAAACCTCCTTTCTTTTCCAATGCCCATTTCTTCCTTCCTTACTTGCAACAGCTTAACACTGACTAGGACAGTGCCACTGCCAGAAAAATTACCTATGAACAAAATGGATTAAATATTGACTCCATTTAAATCAGTAGGAATTTCATGATTGCAGTCTGTAAAGTTAATAATTTTCCTCACATCATGCTAGGCATACCTACAAGAGGCATGGAAGTTATTCTTCAAACTAACAATACAGTATCTTACCTGTATACAAGACTACATTACTATTCAACAAAACCACTAAAAAACCCCCAAACCAAACTATCCAAACTATTTCCAGGCCTGTATTTTATTTTTTTTTCCATAGCTTCTCTTTCTTTCATGTTCTTCCACTTGAGAAAAGAAGTAAGAAGGTACTTGGAAAAGGGGGATGTTTTAACAATATCTATAAATCACTTTATCCTCCCTCTTCCCAACAAGAAAAGATTATTTTCTCCTGAAGACTGCAAGAAGAGTATTTATTTTACAAGCTTTCATTAGCATAGAGGTCTGGACCTTTTTCTTCAACACTTTGTGCTCTGGCTCGTGCAGTGAGGTTGCCTTGTGTGACGGAAAAGTCATTCACTGGCATACAATGTACTTTTTGTCTTCCCCATAGTAACTTAAGAGCAAGGATTTGGTCAACAAGTGGCAAAATTGACAGCACTAAGTGCTGCTGTATCCCCATATGTATGACCTTTTAGGTGCCATATACAGTAGCTTCGAGGCTGCTGTGAAGTATGAGAGAGGATGAGTCCCTCCTTCTGCAGCTCCTGCATCCCACAGACCACAGCAGGATAAAACCACCTCTCTCCCTACCTGTAACATGATTCTTCCCCTACCCACATGTGGTGGCAGGGGTTTACAAGAAGCCTATATGATCGTTGTTACAAGGCCATTTTTAGCCCTTGTGGTCTATGTGCTGTGTTTAGTTCCCATTAATCATTCCATTCTTGCCAAAAATCTGGGACATATTTAACTTTATAGCAGGGTTTTGGAGGGTGGGGAAGAGAAAAGCCTGCGTGTATGATCAGCCACTGTAGTAAGACAAGATTAAAGAAATATGTTTGCAGTAAATTTCTGAATCCTAAGAACTCTCAGAAAATTCTGTGAATATCTAGTAAGTTCCTCTAAGCACACCTGTCCTGCTAACAGAGCTCTGTTAGCTAAATTTAAATGTGCTGCAATATAACAGTGAGTGCCAAAGTCAGGAGGCAGGTCTACAGTAAGTCCTCACAATAGGTATAACAGTTGATTTTTATTTGTTGTATGCAGTAGCAGTTGCCATCTTGTGCTTCCATAATACACAAGGTAAGATATAATGGTATATTTATAATTAATATTTAATAATTAAAGGAAATAAAAACTGCTAGAAAAGTTATTACAATAGTAATAACTTCTTTCCAGTAGTAGTAACTGGTCTTTTCACCATGCAGGAGAGAATTTTAAAAGGTTTTAAAGGTCTACATGAGCTTATAGTGGTGGTAGAGGTTACAAAACAAATTCTGTAACAGATCTTATATTACAATTTCCAATTAACAAACTATAGATTATAAATATAGGTATTTACTGTTAATAACAGTGTAGGACTATTTTGTTACAATTTCCAATGTTGTTCAGCATGTATGTGTACTTTTGGCTTCATGCAGGTTGCTTGGTAGCAGAAGATAACACCTACGGACTCCACCAGTTTAGCTGAACATATAGGAGAGACTGGAGAAAATACAGGTTTATAACTGTCAGGTGTTCACTGAATGAGCAGTTGAACTGAAAGTGGAAAGAAATGGATTTATTTTAAGAAGTTGTTAGACAGGGATCCAATAAACTCACTAAAATTAACACTACATCTCCCTCTATTGGATGCAAGATGAAATGAAACAAAAAAAAATAATCAGCCTGCCTTACTTTCCAGCACAACAGCACACAAATTTCCTCTAACCATTTATATAGGAATGACAGCTGATCATTATAGTAATTCGAGGAGCCAAGATTAATTTGGAAATAAAAGCCAGAGTTGATCTAAATTTGAAATGTTTGCTTTTTAGGTGTCAGATGCAAGTGGATCCATGAAGGTGTCCCTGATAGCAGAGGAAAACCCCTTCTCCATGGCTATGCTTTTATCTGAGGAGTGTTTCATTTTGGACAATGGTGCTGCAAGGAAGATCTTTGTGTGGAAAGGTAAGAGATCACTTCTCTTGCAAATGCAGAAGCTACACAGATATATTTAAGGAGTCGACACAACACTGTGGGGACACTAGCAAGAATTTAATGCTGGCTGGACACCTGCACACAGTCTTCCTTGGTGCAGTCAGTGGCCACAGATTGTTCATTGGGGTAATGACCTCCAGATCAAGTCTTGTCTAAGGATCCTGGTTATTTCTGAGGTATTTGTAAGCCTGGGTGCCTAAATGCTTAGCTAAGTGGCATTTACAGAGCAAGCATAAAGAATTCTACAAATTCTATACACTGCCATCAAATCCTTATCTTCTGGGACAAAATCTGGACACGTAAGTTTTGATAATGGGTAGATTCCATACATTGCTCCACAGAAGTGTGAAATTGCAAGATGAGTGTCTTGGGCATCAACTAATAGCATAAAATTGCAAATACTTCAATGCTTCTTTTTTTCTTGTGAATATTTCTCTGCAGTATCATCAATGCTTGTAAGAGTGTCTGCAATTGCTTTGACTGAACATTTCCCAGAAGAATACTACTGAGGAATTAAGTCTGGACACCTTGTAGCTGGATTGTTGTGATACTGCCATTGCATCCAGTGCTAAGGATCTCCCCTTTTTTGTCTGAGGCACTGTGTTAATTATTCTGTGGCATTTATATTTCTTTTTACCATGTGCAATAGCAAATAATTAATTGATGCATTGGTCAAACTGTTGAAGTCAGTCCAGGAAGCAGTGTAAGCATTTTTCTTAAAACTTCATTTGCAGTTAGGGAAGCATCCTTTAGAAGAGAGCATTTTGGAAGCATTGTGCTCAGATGGCCTAATGTCTATCTGACCCCCTGGTGCCTGGTTTTTACTCTCTACCTGACAGCTCCAAGAAGCAAGCCAATAGGATCAGGCATAAAATAAATAAAATACAATTAAAGTCCTTTGAATATCAACCTATTTGCTCCTCAGTGCATCCTCACTGCACTGCTGTTGGCAATAATGTGTAACAATAATGACTCACATTAGTCTGTGAGTCTCACCCTTGCACTGGGAGGCTGCAGTTATCATCTCTGCTGGAAATCTTCAGGCCACTAAGCTGAGGCATGTGAATTACTTTTCTAATAATCTCATTCAGAATGGAATACAATGAATAGCTGATAAGAGCATCTTATTAGACTAAGAGGTCTTTGCAGTACAGTAATTGACAGCCAGCTGGGACACAGACCTGATAGACAATATCATCCCACAGAGATTTCCTGAGATGTCTAACACTGAGCAAGGCTGAAAAAGGAGCAACGGGTGGGGAAGGGTGGTGGAAATTGCACAGCTCAGCCAGACAAAATGGGAGTTGCGTTTACGCAGACTGTGGCGTTGCCTGAAGAAGTAAAGGCAGCTCTGGAGAGCAGCTTTATTTACCACATTGCAGCCCAGCGAGGAAAGTATTGAGAGAAAAGCACCAGGGTGTTCTTGTACCTTGAACCAAGCAGATATTATAAACAGCATCTTTTGATAGAGGCCCACACTCTAAGGGGAAAAAAAATGAAATAAATAATGTCCCCTTTTTTATTTTTATTTTAGCTGTTTTCTAAGCCACTCTTTTGGCCATTCAACTTACGTGTGAGTCTCCTTGCTCATGCTATGATGTCCAGCATTTGTGTTTGTTCAAGACTGAGGCAAAAGCAATGTCAGAGAGAACCTGACTCAAGGACATCTTGTTTTTGCAGGATCTGTAAGCTCACTGCCCTTTCCCATGTATTATTATCCTTCTGTTTTAACCAGGCAAAGATGCTAACCCACAAGAGAGAAAAGCTGCCATGAAGAATGCTGAACAATTCATAGAGCAGATGAATTATCCTGCCAACACACAGGTGCAATCTATTTATGAGATGATACCAGAAAAACATGAGCTCTGTTAAAAACTTTGGGTTTAAATCAGCAAAAAAATATTTTAAGGGCTTATAAGACACGTAACTCAGGAAAGTTTCTGTTTGAGTAACTGCGTCAGTTTTGTTTTCCTCCCATTTCATGTGTCTTGCTTCATTTCAGATTCAAGTCCTTCCAGAAGGAGGTGAAACGCCAATTTTCAAACAGTTTTTTAAAGACTGGAAGGACAAAGATCAAAGTGATGGCTTTGGCAAAGTGTATGTCACAGAGAGAGTGGCTAAAATTGAGCAGATTGAGTTTGATGCTACCAAGTTACATGAGTCTCCGCAAATGGCTGCCCAGCATAACATGGTAGATGACGGTTCAGGGAAAGTAGAGGTAATTTTTGTGTTGTGTTAAATTGTATCCCACCCACCCAGTGTAGTCTGTTACTTGTAATGGGATAGGCTTCCACACTATGTTTTCCCATTTACACTGTTGTGTAGAGTAGTGCTACATTAGTGGCAGTGTTGCTTCTATCATCAGAAAAGATACTTTGAAGTAAAAATTGAATCTCTACACAATACGTTTTAAAGATATACTTTAAATATGATCCTTAGCCTAAAGAAAGACTTCTGGCTTATATAAGCTTGAAATCTGGAATGGGAAGACTTTCCCTTGGAGTCAAAACTTCAATTTTTTGTCTTTATGAATGTATCCAGTCTGCTTTCTAGGGGAACCTTCTTTGTCCCTATCGTGTTTCTCATCTAGCCTGGATCTGAAGAGGAAAAAATGTCTGTACAGTCTTTCTAGATCTATCCATATCCCACTGCAGGAATATCTTTGGATTTGAATACAGGTCTGCATGTTGGGATTCTGAAAGAAAAAAAGAGATAAATACCTACAGTCTCATTGCTACATTTTCTAGGTTTCTAACCTCATATTTGGTATGGTCCATAGGCTTAAGCCAAAGCAGCTTAGATCTGCAACATTTTTTGGTTTATAATTTTAGCAGTATGTTTTTGGAGAGCAGTTGTTAGCTAAACCGGGCTGTAGTGAATCAAATAGGAAGAAATCTGCCTAACAGTGTGCTATCTGACTGCAGTGTGTCTCTCTCAAATGATATGGTAGTACTGTGATGAATCACAATGTTATGCTATTCATGTCATATTGTCATCTTAAGATCTTAAAGTAAGTTCAACATAGCATTAAGAGATGATCATGTGGCATTAAAGCATCAAAGAAAAGTGTACTGCAGTGGCTTGTTGATGGTCATTATTCATTCATTCAGTGGGTGCAGGGTGTATCTATCTGCTTCATGAAGAATCCTTCCTGGTTTTATTCCATAACACTTGGGAACAGAAACAAAGGTCACTCAAAGGGATGACACAGTGAATTGCTTCTTGCAGAGCCTCAGCATTCTCATGTGATTTCTCTGTTTCCCCAGATCTGGCGGGTGGAAAGCAGTGGCAGAGTTCCTGTGGGACCTGAGACATATGGACAGTTCTATGGTGGCGACTGCTACATTATCCTCTACACTTACCCTAAAGGGCAGATCATCTACACATGGTATGTTTGGTTGGCTTTGCACAGACCTCCAGTATGTGGATATTATTTTATGCTGAGTTTATGTCCTTTTCAGTAGAACTACATGTAAATGCAAGATTGTTTACTGTGCATCTGTCATGTAGTATGAGCTCCTTGTCATTTTGAAACTGGACTTAACCACTGTCTTTGTCTTTCTCAGGCAAGGAGCCCATGCTACAAAAGATGAACTGACTGCGTCTGCATTTCTGACTGTTCAGCTGGATAGGTTATTGAATGGTCAGGCCGTGCAGGTTAGTGTCTTTTGGATAAAATTCAACACAGCATGCAAGATATGCCAATTTCTATAAGAACTGAAAGGAGGAGCTAGCGTTTGAAGACTGGGAATGTTAACTGATCACAGTCTGTATTAAGCCAAGCACCATGGGCTCCTTTTAAGGTCAATGGAGATTCCCCATTTGAATCATTCTTGCTGAATGTAGATCTTCAGAAGAACACAGGCCTAACACGGCATAAAACTGCCTTTTCTTTCCTTTGACTTTCACTGTCTAAAAATTAGGTTTTAGTCCTGCCTAAGACTTACACATGCTGCACATGGTCAGCAGAGATCAGAAGATAAGATCCTCCCAGGGCAACTCACTCTGAATCAGGTGTCTGACAGGATGATACCCCTGCAGGAGCTCCCCTGTCTTCTTTTGATTATGGAGGAAGCTGTGATGTTTAGCCCAGATAAGACACCCAACTTTTAGAGGGCCAAAACTGAGATATGAAAGCCACATGACATTGAGCAACCTTGTTGAGTGGAAGGTGTCCCTGCCTGTAAGGTTGGAACTAGATGATCTTAAGGTCCTTTCCAACCCTATCTATTCTATGATTCTCTGATCTTTAAGGTCCCTTCCAAACCTCACCATTCTATGATTCTATGATATGATGAACTGTGTGACAGCATCTGGATTGTCCCTGCCTTACTGAGGAACTTGAGTGTTCCCATCCTGTAGTGCTTGCAACTCCATGAAAGCAGGATACACATCCTCACTTGCAGAAGTGAGGTGTGCAAGGCAAGGGACAGGACACTGGCAGCTAAAAGGTATGAGGAGATAGGCTAGTCCTAGCATGACTAGGGTGTGTGCTCTTCCATCACTAGTGAGGAGTGGTGGGTAGGTGGAGAGGTGAGAGGTCTCCTCTTTTCACAGGAAAGACAGAGCTGTAAGAGGACAAGGGGCAGAGATTTTCTAGGCAGTCAGAGAGTTCTGTGACTGCCATTTCTTAATTACCAAAGTAAAAGGCTTCCCCCACCCACTAAGGTACAGTTAATCTAGATGGCAGACTATACTTTTAGCCATTAATCAGTAATGATTTATGATTGAAATTATATTAAGGAAGGATTAGAACGCTTCTAGGTAATTACTGCTTGAAATATTCTTAACACGTGTTCTACATTTGGACAGAGCCCAGCACAATGTGGTCCAGCCTCATACCTAAGGCCAATACTAATACTAAAGTAATAATAATATTACTACTAACAACAATAGTAATGTGCTTAAAAACTCTTTTTTATTAAAACCAAAGGAGATCCATCTCACTGCAATGGACATAATACTTAAAAGCACTTTTAGCCTGAAATTAACTTAGGAATGTATATATGTGTGTATATATGTATGTATATATACACACACATATGTATATAAGCATGTGTGCATGTGTATGCATGTACATGGCTCCCAAGATTATATTGCCTGTGCTTAACGTCTGTATTAGCATGATTTGAAAGGTTTAAATGCTCTGTTTTGTGGTCACTAGATGGCACTACAGTCCAAATGACTACAAAAAGTCGTTCGCCTATTTGTTTTTCAGGAATGTTTCCTTCAGCATTTTTGTTGGCTTGTTTTGTTGTGTTTCGTGGTTGGTTGGGGTTTTTTTTCACCATCTGTAAAATCTTGCTGCAGTTTGGCACTTACGAGTGTATGTGTACTCGGGTGTTCTTATCAGGCACCTGTACTGGTCTCTGCAGTAGAAGCACTCGCTCCTGCTGCCCAGCATGACCACTGCTGCCCAGCTGCCCCAAGCCTCACCAGGCAGGGATAAGGGGCTGGGGCTTTCCACTTCTCTTCTGCTGGCTATGCAGCATGCCTCATTCCCTTTTTCCCCTTTCTTTCTGGGAGTGAAATGCAGGTAGTCACAAACCTGTCAAGGTGGTACTGATACAAAGGAAGAATAGATGGTTGTATACAAATAACTTAGCACACATTAACCTAAAAATATCCATTCTTCACAGCTCAATGTTTTTTTGAGATTGAAATAACATGTTTTGCATCTGTAATATGAGTTCATTTTTGTCATCCATGTTATCTACAAGATAGATATATGCTCATGTTTCTCACCCTCTGGCAGATAAAATACACATAGAAATAATGAACAGGATGAATACTCATTCTCTTCTGCTTAAATACCGGGCACCTGAACTTCCACAATAGTTCTTCAGTCACTCTATAAAATGCTATGAAATGACAGTTCTTTTGAAAAAGAGTAATTTTCTCATTACAGTAGATAGCAGCCATTTTAATCAGCTAAACGTTATGTTAAAAGTTTGAATCTTGTCTTTGTGTCAGCATGATTGACAAAAAAATCTCACAAATGCTTTAACTTTAATGTGTCTGGAACTATATTTTTAGATCTTCTCTGCTTGCCACTTCTCCCTCGTGCTAACATACTTCACATTATTGGCTAACATCCCCTGTGCTATTCAACAAAGACCAAAAATAACCACCTGTGTCCTTTTGTTTCTTTTATTGCATTTCTTTACGTATGTACAGATCCGAGTCAGCCAAGGCAAAGAGCCTGCACATTTACTGAGCTTGTTCAAAAACAAGCCACTTATTGTCTACAAGGATGGGACATCCAGGAAAGAAGGTCAGAAACCTGCTCCACCCACACGACTCTTCCAAATCCGCAGGAACCTTGCAACCATTACTAGGATTGCAGAGGTAAGGTCACCTGCTAAGTAAACCAGCTATTCCCCATGGGAAATTGTATAGCTGCCATGAGCCTCTCCAACTAACCTTGCTGAGTAGTCACATCTAGTAGGAATGCAGAATTCCAAATCAAATCCACTGCCCTAAGTGTCCAATCCATGTAATAAATCAAAGAGAATATGCTGTAACTGGCTGGAACCAAGCTACAGCTTCAGAGGAAACTGCAAGAAAAAGTGTAGTGAAGAGCCAGCTGACAAAGAATAGATAAAAAATCAGCAACCCTTATGAGATAGTCTTTCCCACTGCCAAACAGCCCTAAGTTTTGCCCTTCAAGTCAGTTCCCAGTCTCAAGTTAAGTTCTTCTCTAACTTGTATCAGTATAAATCTAGGGAAAATTTGAAGAAAAAAAGCATAGTTAATTAGCAACTATCTACATATTTTATATAAACATGCAAAATAGTGATTACATTATTTGAAAATATGAAGAATTAAACAATTTCTTTTTTGATCTAGGTTGATGTTGATGCAATGTCTTTAAACTCTAATGATGTCTTTGTTCTGAAACTGCCAAACAACTCTGGCTACACCTGGGTAGGAAAAGGATCAAGCAGAGAAGAGGAACATGCAGCTGAATACATTGCCAGCATTCTTCATTGCCAAACTGCTAAGATTAATGAAGGCCAGGAACCCGGTTAGTATGAGGCCACATGGTTGCTAGTAGGTAGCTAAGAATACACAGCACATGGAAATACAGCCTAAACGGGGTTTGTGACCATATATATTTTGTAGCCAGAACCAAATGCTCTTTCCCTTTTAACATCCAACCCAACACGGAGATTCATCCAGAACTGGCTGATGCATGAGTAGTGTGATGCCCTGGAAGTCTGTAGGACAGTAGCAGGAGCTGCAGAGGAATGTGGTCCTTTCTTTACCACAAGCACCTAGGAGGGGAGAAGGACATAGCACATTGCACTTTCTAGGTCTGCAAGTGACACTTTCATTTTTATTTTGACAAACTGCAGGAAGAACTGTAGGAAAATGTACTCATCTTTGGCACAGCAAAGATATTGTTTGGGGATTCTTGAAAAGTACCTAACAAGCTAAACCACCAAATGTTAAATCCACTGCTGAATAAATTATATACTGTGTATTTCAGAGGAATTCTGGAAAGCACTTGGAGGTAAAAAAAAATACCAGACATCATCACAACTCTTAACAAAGGCTGAAGATCACCCCCCTCGCCTGTATGGTTGTTCTAACAAGACTGGCAGATTTATTGTGAGTATATGAGGGATACTTTCTTCTCTGTTTAATTGTATAGTTTCTGGTATATTTTGCTTTGGGAATCATCAGACATTAAATGAATCTGGGGATCTGGCTTAGTTAGCTGTGCTTGACAAGAGCTGGAGAATTGATGTTTGGTGCTTTAAATCAATCCAAATGCACTGAATGGACAGAAGAATGAATAATGCAAAAGTTTGCACGCAGAGCTTGCTCCAACCTGGGACTAGAGGCCTGCAGATGCAAAAAGATGGGGCGTTTGCCCAGTCTAAAGCAATTGTGTTCTTCAGAGCATTGCTAGACTGCTTTCACTGAGAAAATGCAGGTCAGTGCCTTGCCCCTTAACTTGTTTGATAGTGGTGACGAGGAAATGTGCCATGCCAAAAATCCCTAGCAGTCTGAATTTTTCCACAGAGATTTAAGACACATAATTATGCGTCTAAAGTATTGGCCTGTGCTCAAAGAGGTAGAAAGACCAAGTTTCTTAGCAGAAATACACAAAACTGTGCACTGGGTATTAAGTCTGTGATTCAGGCTTAATTACTTACAATATTCTGGGAAGGCAACACTGTGTTACTGTCTGGCAAGGATTTACCAATTTTTAGGTGGGGGACATAGTTTGCTACCATCTCTGTAGCCTCCTTAAGACACAGCCCATTCATTTGAAGAGGGATAAAACAAATAGGAATCTTTAATAAGGATTTTAAAATCTTACAAGAGTACTAAAATGTATCCTTCTAACAAGCTTCTAAAACACTCCTGTGAAATACAGGAACCTCTCTGTAACAGTGTGCTGGGAGCTATGCACTTGTTTCGTATTTGTTTTAAGTTCCCTCTAAATTCTGTGAAATCCCCTCTTTCCTGAAGCTTTTCTCTAGTAACAGAATCATCACCAGTAGAGCTCACCAGAAGAGGCAGGTCAGATCACTCTGACCTTCTGGCACTGTAACACAGGGTGGGGAAAAGGAGTATCTTTTGCACCATCTGCTCACCATCTCTTCAGCACTCCTACATGACCAAGCACCCACACCTTTGACAGTCCTTTAAAAGTAGAGGGCTAACCACTAGCTACATTACTCTCTCTCCTTCACACATAGAATAATACTAAACTGCTTTCCTATCTGCCTGCACGTCCTTGGAAGAAGCAAACAGTCTGCATTTCCTTTGGGGACTAAGGCTTGAGATGACTTAGTCAACTGTAACATCCCACTGTCAGGTGACTGGAAAGCTTGCTTGGGTGTGTATTTCATCACTGAGCTCATCCACTGCAGACCAAAGCAGTTTCTTTCCCTTATTAATGAACATAAGCTGCAGGAATATATCAGCTGGGATCAGTTGATTGATTTGCTTGGTACAAGGTGTTCTATGGGAATTTCCCTGTCCCCTTCTGGAAGACCTCAGTCCGAACTTAACAACAGTCACAATTATGATGTAAACCTCTGCCCCTCCTGAGGATATCCTATCAATCCTGACAAGCTGCGAACTGATTTTATAGGACATGAAATTATGTGATTTGTTTCCTTTCAGAAAACACCCTTGACACATTCACCAAATCAGTTTAGGAGTGAAAAGAATTGCACAACAGCTTCTAGACGTACCCTCTTAAAAGTATCTTTGGTCTGTTCAAAATCAGAATATCTTGATAAATTATTAAAAAAACCCAAACCAAACTAAAACATAATTTCCTTTTCAGATCGAGGAGGTCCCAGGAGAATTCACTCAGGATGATTTGGCTGAAGATGATGTCATGTTGCTGGATGCTTGGGAGCAGGTAAGCTGTGTCCTTGACCACTGCTTTTCATGGTAACGATGATAATCTATTCCTTACCACTTAGATCATAAGATGGGAGGAAAAATAATCTTTTGAGAATGGAAGAGGTTGTTTTCTCTAAATTATACCAGAGGGAGCTATATTTTTTGAGCTACACAATGTGCTAGTGTGAACATACACAACTGAATTTCCAAGTATCATGTAGGACGGTGGCAGGCGTTTCCCATTAAAACCAATGGATACTGCAAGACTATAAGCCCCTGCAGCGTTCTGAAAGGCTCTCGATAATGTTCTTGACTTTATCACTAAAGTTTATTGATTTTTAAAGGAGAAAGTTATTGCATAAAAGGTATTCAGAAGCCACCAAATCCATGTAGCAGCAGCACCTACAGAAGGGGACAAAGACTAAACCCTTACACAGATTTCTTCAGAAGAACTGAGTGGAGGTTGGCAGAAACAATCTCCATAATTTTCCCAGCTTCACTGAGAACTGAGAATGTTGAAAGCTTTTTGGATGACTTGTAAACTTACTAGGGGTGCAGAGAGCACATCTGTTTCTCACAATATATTCTCTACCCTTCCTCTCCGCTTGGAAGGAAGTGGGGAGGAGGCCACAGATCACATGCTTTGTGTTCTTCAGCCTTATCTTTAAAAAGACTAAGGTTTTTGGAAATGAGAAGGAATGTCCAAGGTCCATAAGGCAAGGTGGGTGGAACAGCTGGATGGAAAGTAGTTGGGACATAGTGACTTAGGTAAGACGGAAGTAAGTCAGAGACACATAGTTGGTTGGTTTCCAAAGGGATCCTTGACAGAAAAAGAAAAAGCGGGGACTGCAGATCAAGGCTCCTGTTTTCCTTGTGAGAGACTGTACTTCTATCCTCTGAAATCTCACCACTCTCTTGACACTGGAAGTATGGACCTTTATACACTCTGATGAAGGGAACTCTATCAATTGTGGTTTGTGACAGCTGTGTATCTCTGCTGTCTTTTTACAGTGCATATTCTTTCTCCTAGTGGAATCAACTGTTTTGTACTTTACCTGCTGTACACAACATCCTTGTAACAACATGGGAGCTATATCTTTCCTGTTTGCAGGTTTTTGTCTGGATCGGGAAGGATGCTAATGAAACTGAGCGACAGGAATCCATTAAATCTGGTAAATCAAATCAATTTGGAATAATTTTGAGTGAAGTAGCATCAATATTACTTAAAGAAGTGAAAAAGATAATTTAGAAGAAATCTAATTATGTTTACAGTGTTTAAAGGAGTTACTGAGCTTATTAGGATTTAATCCTGGAGAAAATTATTTTCTTCTTCAAATGTGCTTTAAAACTAATTTTATCTTTATAATCTGTAAGCATATGAAGAGTAAAATTAATCAAGATAGTATTGTTAAGCTGCAGAGCTTTTTAAAGAATATATAGGAGAGCTCCATGAAAGGAAACTGCACTGAGAAGAGAAAGAATTGAAAAGGAGATACCTACTGAGCTGTGCCCTACACTAATTTATATAGTCAAAGGCATGCCAACAAATCCTCGTCCTTCCCCTGCCACCCTTCACTGAGTTAAATTAGGAGGAGGAAATTCCAGCTGCAGAACAAAGCATGACAACTCATGCAGAGTGCACCTCCTTGGAAAATCATGTATTCTCTCTGCAGTGATTTAACATAGCTGAGCTGTTCTGACAAAGTTTGTGCTAAAAACACTTGCAGGTATTTCCCTGGAGCATCTGGGGTTACCTGGCTGTGTTTCTAATCTGTATGGATGTCACGTTGCAATGTTAAGGGAGACTATACTGTCTTTAAAATA